GAAGAGCGTATTTTGATTGAATGAAGATGGCATACATAGAGTTTAGCACAAATACGACTGATATGAACTAAGAAATTGGTGTTTTGGATTCATGAAAAGGGGAAAAATATGAAATCCAGATTGATGATCTTCATAGTTCTGCGTTCTTACAAAACAATATCTTTGCTTAGAATCTAAGATTTCCACTGAGAAACAGAACGGAAGAAACAAACAAATAACTAAAACAAGTAATGCTTTCAGTTGTCAAGCAATCAGAAAATTTATTTGAAAAGATTTATCCTTTTTTTTCCCATGAAATTCGCGTCTGAAAAAGGCCACGGAGGAAAAGGGAAGACAGATCCAGAATCTGGAATTGGGCATCTGAACATTCTAACCAAGCAGATTCCAATAAATCAGACAAAAATTTCACTCCTTTTCCCACCATTTTCTGCTCATTTACCCAGAAACCAAACAGATGGAAACCGGAATCGTTCGGTCTTAGTCAGTCATTGTCTCTTCACAAACAAATTCGCAAGAAAAGACCAAAACTTGACATGGAGAAGAGAGCTTTGAACTAAACCCAGATTCAGTTCCATTACCTTCGAGCGACAAATCTTCTCAGAAGTCAACCAGAATCGACGGAGACAGAAGAAGAAGAAGAGGAAGAAGACAGTGAAGAAGGCGAAACAGCAGCAGAAGACGGAGGAGGGTCGCGGATCAGAGGAAGAAGGAAAGTCATTAAAAAAAAAATCAAAACTTTATCTTGTGGGTATCTTCGGGGATCGGTCCGAAGATCAAATGAAGTAAGATTTGTGCTGATTCATACCCTTTTCGCATCAGCGAGCAAATGTAATCAAATTAAAATAAATAAATAAAATAAAATATTAAGAGCAGCGGTAAGGAAACCTGAGTGGCAACTGGCAAAACGTTTTCTTAATGGGCATGTTTTCGTAATTAAAGAGACTTTAAGATTAAAGAATCCGACCGATTCTTGTAATTTATTTGTTCCGTTTCGTCTGTTGCTATTACAAATGGAGGAGTACCATAACGTTGTCTTGTCGGCGTGGCCAGGTATCATAACGGCTATATTTCTTTATTTTATTTAATATTTTTCCTCTCTCTGTCGCTTTATTCGTATTTATTTATTTATTCGTCTGCCCTTTGAAAAACGATCTCTGTCAACTTTTTTTTTTTGCCCGTTAGTGGAATCATCATTTATTATTCCGTTGCACCATAGGAAACACGATGTACATAATGCAATATGCATGCATGCATGTGGAACAAAATCTTTTGGTTTTAAGTGAAATAATTAAAAAGCTTTCAATTATGGATTCCTTTTTGAAAAACAATAAATGACAGAAACCAGAAAAGCTTCTTGTTTGGACAAAAACTTTATTTGGTAACATATACTTTTTTTCTCTTTTTATATGAACAAAAAACATTCTAGTATGATTTTTTTAAACATTTTCAAAAAAAAACATGAAAAATGAGACAGGTGTGTCAGAAAGTAGTTATAGAGAGAGTCAAGGAAAAAAAAACTTTTTTGGGTATTCAACAAAAGCAGAAGTGAGGTTAGGTGGGGATAATGAAAAAGGCATAGAGGCTTTTTGACAATTTCATGTCTTTAGGAATCAAATTTGATATATATATATATATATATATATATATATTGGATGTACCAATGAATGTTTCTCTGTTCAGACAGTGACAAACATAGGCGGCATTACAAGAAGTTTCAGTTCAGAACAATGTTTTTTTGCTCCAGAGACGGAGCAAGAGGCTTTCTTCTTCCCTTCTTGGACATTACAAGTGAAAAACTAGCTGGTCTTGCCATGGACAGCAATCTGGTGAATGTCCATGTCCTTCAACATCACCGACCGACCACACGAGTCACACGGTGCAGTTCTCGAACCGCACATGCTCTCGTGCTCCGACAGCCCCCTCAGCCTGTCTCTTGCGTCTGCTGCCGAGACACCGGCCTGGACCATGTCCCCACAGAACCGGCACGTGATTAGCCGCAAGGGACACTCCGATGCTTGGTGTCGAACCTGTCCAAAAAATGAAACTTTTATACGGAAAAATAGTAAAAAGGATGAGAGGATTCACGGGTCAGGGCCGGAAATTTCGTTACCATCTGCTCCTTCTCGAGCAGAATTCCGCATCCACATGAAAGCGGCTCGTGGAAGACTTTCAAGTGTTTCTCCATCTCAGCTAGCTGCAGTGCCTGGCCGCACTTCTCGCAATGCACATGGTTCTTTGCCTCGTCGACTCTAAGAACGACTCCACAGCCGGGATGGTGACAAACGACGTTATGTCTACTACAATACGCTTCATGCAATGCGATGCTTCTGCAGGGAATAGAATGCTTACAGTTCCTGCATTCTACTGTATCGACATCGGATGAATACGATGATGATGATGATGTTGCTCTTTGGCCAACCTTAGTGTAATCGTTGTTTTCTTGGACGAACACTGAAACCCGATATGTGACTGTTCCTTTAAAGCCATAGACACCGATACTGTAAGTGCCTGGACTCAAAACTTTCTCCTTTGACCCCAGGATCAAGGTCTTGGAGCCCATATCGTGAGAGGACCACTCATGCTGATGAAGGGACGGGAATAGAATCGGGTGTCTCGATACATAGAGATCGGTATCCCCACCATCCTTCTCCACGTCTATCTGTACAACGACTTTGACATTTCCAGATAGTACCTTGTCCGCTGTAGTATTATCGATGGAGAACTTATAGTACACATATTGACCTTCCCCAACTGTTCCAGATTCAGGCTTTCCAAAATGAAGCGGTATCAAAACATGCTGATTCGGTTTATCTGAAACAATGTCGGGACTCACTATATCAACCTCGATATCTGTATCCAAAACCGAAATGCTCGAGGCAGGTTTAAGCTCAAGAACCCGTAGCTTGTAAGATAGCTGTCCGTAACTTACAGTGAGAACATCGTCTAGAGAAAGGGTAGCATGTTGCCGGAGAATTGTTTCGAGGATAGCTTTGTGGTTAGGCAAATCCGAGAAACCAACGTCACCGGGCTGAAGTTTTGCATACCCACCTTTCGGCAATCGGACATAACGAATTTGGACCAGAGGAGAATCAGCGGGAGCATGAGTTGAAAACAAGTTACTCCAAACATGTGGGGGAAGCCCAACAGTACCGTCTTCAGCAGTGAACTCAAGAACACCGCAATGAGTGGTCCTAATACCATCCTTTTTACCATCCTCCTCGTTAACTGGAGTCCCATGGTGAATTACAGATAGTCGAAAGTACAAAGGACCTTTATCGAAAGCTCCTTGATCAGACAACTCAGTGAAACACGACGGAGGCAGTTTTATCTTGTCTCCATTTCCTTGAAAGGGGACAGCTTGCAAGATATGCTCAAACACTATCCCTTCCCCAGCGATAAGAGTTTCTTGGGCATGTTGTTCAGCCTGAAGACAGGAACAAGCAATTGTCACTATATAGATCACATTAAGAGACAGAACCCTTGAGTCTTTCATCAAATCAACAAAGAAGATAATTGCTGATTTCTGTCTACCATAAAACCCTTTTGGTAATTTCTTTCTTGTTTACAGTATTACTATTTCCAAAATCTTATAGAGCCTAAGCAATAAGCCATTGATTAACACAAAGGTCAAAATCACATACTAACACAATTCTTCCACAGAAGCTAAATCCAGTCGTGATACGGATCCGACAGCAACTTTCTACCAGCCCTGAGGAATGATTCAAGGCCAATGCATCAAATCGAATTCAAAATCGCTAAGGGTGTTATCAAAATTTGGGGATTTTTTGGGCGAAATCGGATTCCAATGCCATCTTCTGTAAGACTAGGGTTTCATCTATGGCTACCTTTCTTCGCACACAATCTTATACTCGCTTTCGACCAATCTCCATAGATGGGTTTGGAACACGTTGAATGAGAGAAACTCAATAACGAACGGAAAAAAAAAAATTGTAAGCTAGACCTTGAGCTGAGCTTCAACGGCGTCTAGTCTCCGAGCTCTCTGAGCAGCTTCGATGGCGTCGCGTTGCCTCCTCGCTTCCTCCTTAGCTTTCCTCTCCCGCTCAAGCTTCAATTTCGCCCTCTCTTTCCTCTCCCTCTGCTCTCTCTCCAGCTTCTCCCTCGCCGATCTCAGCTCAAAATCCATCTCCTCAATAATAATAATAAAAAAAAGAAGAAGAAATAATCTCTCTCCCGATTAGGAATCGAATCTGGATTCAGAAAACCCAGATCAAATCGAAGTTTTCGCCTTTAGTAAAAAGAAAAAGAGTGTGTTTTCCTGTTCGACAAGAATCAAGAAAACAAATCGATGATATTCCTTGATTTTTTACATATGCATATATATATTATCTATAAATCGGTCCAAAAAAAGGTCAGGAATGTTCTGGGCCTCTCATGAAATCCATGTAGGGCCCATTAGAATCTTTAAAGCCCAATTACAACAAAAAAGGAGCACGTTTTTCCTCCACCCTAAATAGTAAATAACACACACACACATAAATATAAACATATATATATATATTGAAATTTATAATCAATTTGAATTTACATATTATTTTTATTTGAGATTTTCTTATTATATTTAAAATTATTTTTATGGAAATAAAAATTTATTTAAACTCATTCGATTATTATAATTAAAATAATTCGTAGTGTACAATTGATATATATATATATATATAGGCAAACATTATAGAAAATTTCGGTCTTCAATTCCAATATTTGAAAACGTTAGTTTAAACAAATTATGAAAAAAAGAAACGAGATTGTTGCAAAATCGAGACTTGTATATATTCCATAAAATTATTGATAAAAAATACAAGATACAAAATATTTATTTAATATCAGGCCGGAATTGGCAAAGAACCGAGTCAATGAGCAATAATTTATCGTCGAAAAAATCGGGGAAACGATCAAGAGCATTTTTGGCGGCAATATTACGAGCGCTCTCCTTCTTGAGATGATGAGAGCCTCTCCCGACCAGACGATCGTCGATGAAGACAACGATCTCTCTGTTCTTTTCCCACGTGTCTTGGAATCTCAGTTTCAGATTGCACTTCTGACACTTCTCATGCAGCTCCGCCTTCGGATGGTTCCTCAATTTCTCCACGTATATTATTGGCTCCAACAATGGCTTAAACACCTACACATATATTTATGTTTTAAAAATAAATTAGAATATATATATATAACCCCACATTACGATTATAAAATACATATATATTACTTACGTGATCCAATTCACGATCAACTAATTAATTTTTAAACGAGCTGAGTTATATAATTTCTTTTACTCGTTTAGAAAATGGATTCTTTACACCCTTGTATATATTATTGCATGTATGCATATATAATTCGTAATTAGTTGAAAGTCTAGAAATTATTAAAAGGGAATACATAGTGAATATATATATATATATATGTATGTATGTATGTACCTCCCAAACAGTGTCGATAGAATTGCAATCGAGGAAAAGAGCTCCGACGGTGGATTCTACGATGTCGGCTAGAGCTTTTGGAACCCTAATTAGTCCATGTGAGTGCAATGGATATTCTTCGATCGCTTCGGAGAATTCTTTGACCTGTTAATTAATATGAGAAGAGTCGTTTATATACATAGAGATACACAATTCTTTACAGCAAAATGGCAAAGAAAACAATGATTAGGGTTAGGGTTTTTTTTCTTACTTGATCCTCAAGTAAAGGTTTTTTGTGGCGCAGAAAGCGGTACAATCCGTGTTTTACAGCCACTCGAGCCAGCTTCTCCGTGTCGACGTTAGCGGCTCCGCGCCGAGTCAACAAACCCGGTGGCAATTCCGGGTACATGGAGAAGAACTCTTTCGTTATCAGCAGATTCAGAACCGAATCGCCGATATACTCCAATCGCTCGTAGGAAACGCTCTCGCCGTAAGACGCGTGCGTGAACGCTTCTTGTAACAAATGCTTTTCCTTGAATTGGTAATGTAGAATCTCCTCCACGAACTCGACGGCCAAAGGCGGTTCGTGAGGTCCGGGTTGCGATGACTCTGGGCTTGACCCGTTCTCGGTGGTGCTACTGTTGTCTGTGTGATTGAGTTGTGCTGACTCGGGGCTTGACCCGTTCTCAGTGGTGATGTTGCTGTCTGTGTGACTGAGTTGTGCTGACTCGGGGCCTGACCCGTTCTCGGTGTTGTTGTTGTTTTCTATGTGATTGAGTTGTGCTGACTCGGGGCCTGACCCGTTCCCGGTGGTGTTGTTGTCTATGTGATTGAGTTGTGCTGACTCGGGGCCTGACCCGTTCTCGGTGGTGCTGGTGTTGCTGTCCGTGTGATTGAGTTGTGCTGACTCGGGGCCTGACCCGTTCTCGGTGGTGTTGCTGTCTGTGTGACTGAGTTGTGATGACTCGGGGCCTGACCCGTTCTCGGTGGCGTTGCCGTCTGCGTGACTCGGTCCCATGGTGAGAGTTTAGTGGAAGTAGAGCTCTGTACCTGAAAACGTAAGTAGGGTTTCTTATATAAGTCAAGCCCTCGTGCGTTTTCCTTCTCTCCTTCGGATTTTCTAATTTCCTTTTTTTTTAATTCGTTTTTCTTTGATTATTTCTATAACTTGGTCCGCACGGTCATGTATATATAGACATGAGAAATTAAAAACAATAATCATGTCAGGAAAAGGAATATTAATCATATCATAACTCTTGAAACCATGTATATCTTAAACATGAATATATCTAATTATGGATAATATGAATTGTCGAAATAATATGAAAAACTAATCGATGGAAACCGATCGATGTCAGATTTCTATGATTTGTTTAGTATTTGATTTGGATTCAACTTCAAATCTATATTTATAAAAAAAAAAGATTAAATAAGAATCTTATCTATTTGATGTTTGACTTGTCTTTTATTTTTTTTTTAAAATAGTCATCATTATTATTGGTAACTGAACGATGATAAAAGGAAATATATTTACAATTAAATTTTTATTTGAATATATACGTACACAGCAAACATGCTTTATTTGAATATATAAGTAACGGGGCAAGTCTTTATTTGAAAAATACCATTAGAATTCAATGTTGACTTTTCTAATGACACGTGATTTTCCAATGATTTATATATATCTATATATATATTTCAATCTATTTTCAAAGAAAACATCAAATCTGCAAATATTTTTTTTACATACAATAGCAGAGAGAGAGAGAGAGAGAAATTGTACAAATAAAAATTACTATTATAGTCTCAATAACCATATCAATATGTAAATACATATATATATATATATATATATAGACCGTTTTCTCTTACAGGACATATGTTTCTCCACTCCTCCTGCAACCGAGGAAGAAGACAAAGAGATAAAAGAAAAACGATGAACCAAATAACTAACAAATGAACCAAAGAAAACTCCCCAAAAGTGTCACCTTCTCCCCCTTTCTCTCCCAACACCACTCTCGTATCTCTCTGGCTTTCCCCTTCTCTGTTTGGATCATCAAACCCTATCTTCCCTTCTTTTTTTTTGGCTTTTCAACTGCCAGAGACAGAATTCCCCTTTGGACTCACGCCATTAAACCCGACCAAAGACGTGAATCTCGGGACGGGCACTGCCTCGGTCGAGACAGCTAACTCTTCCAAACGCTTCCACGTCGTCTCCCGTCTTGTCTCGACCTCCTTCTCCTTCGTTTCGTCTTCTTGGAACTTGGCCAAGCACTCGTCGAACAGGGCCTGGTCCGTGTCGCAGAACACCTTTCTCACGTTCAGTGTTAGACTTTGAACGGCTTGGTTCCAGTGCCCTCGCGTGTTTCTCTCCAGAGCCGGCAAGATTATGGGCATTACCACTTTATGGTTCTGCGTTATCAGATTCCTTACGTGGTCGTTGTTCCACAGAAACAATGCCCTTTCAGCAACCTGACAAAAGAAGCAATCTTGTGTATGAACCAGTTCATGCTTCGACCATATACATCTCGCAAAGATTCAAACTTTATTCTAAAGACAGGTTCGGTGCCCATCACTCGGAATCCATTCACGTCCTATCCTATATCAGTGAACTGAACAAATGGGCGAGAGGAAACATCTCAATGTACATCACCCAACAATAAAAAAAACGAAGTTTTGGATAGGTAAAATTTCCGTATTGCGGTATTATGGGACAAAAGCAAAGGGCCGCACCTGAAAATGTGAACTGTTGAGGCAATGACCGATTTGGCGGAACAAAGGCACCATACAACGCTGAAACTCAGCTGCTTGTGTTGCTTCCAAGACTTCTTCCAATTCCCCCAAGAACATAACTTCCTTTGTACTGTTAGTAACAGGCCAGTATTTTAAAAGGCCTCTAATAACGGTATCAGCAAGCTTGAAATCTTTCTCTACAAACTGAACGATGCAATAAGAAAGCTGTTGGTGGTAGACCGATGCACACTTAGGCTTGTGGAGAGGGATCAAGGCTCGGACAAGGAAGAGCTTGTGCTCTTCCTTCAGCGGCAAAGCAAACCCGTTTATTATACTTCCAAGAATCTCAAGCAACTCTGCAATGCCATTGTGTTTCTCCGTCTCGAAAATGAATCGGTAGAAGATGTTGTTTATGGCCTTCCTGATATAAGGACGGTGCACCATGAACTTCCCATATATCCGGTGCAGAATGGTCTTTAGATACTCCCTCTCTCTTTGGTCTTCAGAATCAAAGAGATCTAATAGCCTCAAGACAAATGAATGGTCGATGTATCTCTTTGCAAGCTTTGCATCTGTCATAGGCGAAGCCACGAATCTAAGCAGAAGCTCGTAGACAACTTGTAGATGAGGCCAAGCTGGCTCCAATGCAGGTTCGTCCTCGTCCATATCAAACATTTCAAGAATTTTGCTGTCGGGATTTTGAGAAGGAAACGTCCGGAACAGATTAAACCCCACCATCCTTATGATCTCCTGCATTGCAACATCATTGAACTTCACTGAAACCACCGTGATATAGTCATCTAGCTCGAGCAGCGTCTGCCGCTTTATCTCTTTCTCTCTAGGGTTCTTCGACGGGTCACTGAAATCAAACAAGACGCAACACATTTGCAGCTTCCTGATGAAGAGATTCGGTTTCTCTGAGACAGGAACTTCCCTAAAGCTGGGCAAAGCCTCGTACACAGCAAAAGGGAGAAAAGGGCCAGCTTGAACAGAATCACCTAAAGGCTTCTTCCCTTGATTGGTCCTGTTGGCGTTCAACGAGGTAGGAGCAAGAGCCCCATTGGCATAACGTGAACCAGAAGTAGATGATTTTGAAGACGCCGAAGAAGGTTTCGACGGGATGGTACCCGAATTGGGACTGTAATATGAGCTCAAAGAATTAATCCCTCCCTCTCCATTCGAGTCATTGTTTGATGGTTTCGAAGGTTTTCTGGGCAATTTCCCAAATATCTGCTTGATCATATTTACAGAAACCCTAGCCCTCGCCCTGCCCTTCTCCCTCGCTCTACGAGAATCAATCCGTATCCGCTAAATTAAGCTCAAAAAACACAAATCCCCGAACTTTATCGTCTCAGCGCAAGGGTATACGCTGAGATTTGATTCCGAAACAAACCCTAATGCCGATACATCGAAAGGTCCTGCATGCGGATGAACCCGAATTCAAAATCGAAGGCACAAACAGAACCATGAAGGGAAAAATCCATCGAAAAAGAGCAAGCTAAAGCTGGCGAGTCAATTAAAGAGATAAGAGGCGAATTAGCAAACGAGAACAGCTTACATTTCGCGGATGAGCAGATAAAGATCTGGGCACCAGACAGACACAAAGCCGGAGGAACCCTAGAAAGCCGAGCTCCAAAAAGAAGGATTTGTTCATAAACCCAGAGAAAAAAAAGGCTCTTTTTTTCCTCCCAGAATTGAATCGACCGAGCGAGGGAGGGAGGGAGGAAAAACGACGAAATCCAGAAAGAAAATGTAGAGAAACAGAACACGATAGACAGATTAACGTTGTAATGAACAAAAATAGGAAAAGAAAATCTCTCTCCCCCTCGCCGTGGATTTTCCCTCTAATCTATGCTTTTTTATCTTTGCTTGGATTCAGAATATAACAGACGGAACAAGAAAAAATAATTTAAATAATGAGAATAAATAAGAAATTCAAAAAAAAAAACGGTGAACAACAAAACGGAGGAAAAGCAATACCAGGGGACGATTTGACAGAACGGCGAGTGAGATAAATTTACACTTTTGCCCCTAATATGACGGAGGATATATGTATGGTCCTCAAGCAGCGGATGGTGAATTTGTAATTAAGTCCCGGTATCATGACGTCAGCAATTTCTCCAGCACAAAAAGAAGAGGATTTTTTTTTTTTTGCATTTGTTTGGAATAATTTATATATTTCTGAAGATTAAATACTAAACTGAAAAAAACAGAGTATTATTTAATAATAGGATCCAGTTAGATATTTAAATAAGAATGTATATTTAGTGGGCATTTCACATAAATTTAGAGATCCATTTCCATTTATCATAAGGTTTTTCAAAGCATTTTGCTTATGTTTCGTATGTCACTGATTTTATTTTTTAAAATACTTTCCAAATTTTAGATATCACAAATGAATAAGAACACCTAGACTTGAGAGCCCGACCAATCCATGGCTACAAATATGATTCTACACTGACCGTTGACCAATCAGACCAGTCAAAGGCGATGGGTCAACACTTCAATTCTCTTAAACATTGAAATCAAAACCTAAAAAGAGAAGGAAAATAACCAAAAAGCATAATTTATGGATTAAAACAAGTAGCAATAAAAATGTGAAAATAAAACTATATAATGGACCGTTAAATGGCGAATTTGCTGCATCAAAGGCTTTTTCCATGTGCTGAATTTCTATTTTTCACTCTGCATAATTTCTCAGAAATTACAAATCAAACCATATACTAAACCTTGTATTAATACAAATCAACAACAACTTCAAACCAAACATTTTTTTTTTCTTTTCTTACACGACAAGTAACTGTCTTTTCCGACCAAATCCAGTTGCAGAAACTGCAGATCTGTTTCAGGGCATGTCCTTAAGCTCATACTCAGAGCTTTTTCTCGTCGTCTTCTCTTCAAGAACTCCATTTCCGATTCCTTTCGTCTCCTTCTCGACAAATTCATCGATCTCGGCAATGCCCACCTGTGTTTTGTACTGATGTCTCATGGCGAAAACGAGGAAGATGACGAAGTTGAAAGCTCCCAACACGACCAGGAGCCAGTAGAAGTAGTTCAGTTTCGCTCGGTTAAGGTTGCTCCTCAGCCAGCTCTTGTCCGTGACCTTATCCACAAGCGAAACGAGCAAGCTACTGACGAAGAATCCCATCGAGATCGTGCTCAGAAACAGTCCGGTGCTCATCGATTTCATCCTCTCGGGCGCTTCCCTTATGAAAAACTCGAGCTGGCCGACGTAAGCAAACGCCTCTCCTGCACCTACGAGAAAATACTGAGGCACTAACCAGAACGCGCTCATGTGGGTCCCGTTGTCGACGGCCGATACACGTCTCTTCTTCTCTATGACTGCAGCTACTGCCATGGCGGCCATGGAGAAGACGAGCCCTATGCCGATTCTCTGAAGGCTTGTGATTCCTTGAGGCTTGCCTGTGATCTTATGGGCTAACGGCACGAACAGTCTTTCGTTTAAGGAGGTGAAGAGGAGAATGGTGAGGATGAGGAATGCGGAAAACGAGCCGGCCGGAACGGTGAATGACCCGAGTTTTCGGTCCATGAATGTGGCCTGTTCGACCGTGAACGTCGTCATTTGGGAGTAGATCGTCCAGAAGAGAATGCAGGTCGACCATATGGGTATCAGCTTCAGGACAAGCTTCACTTCCTCAACCTGCGTAACTGTCGAAACGATCCATTGATCGTTCTTGCTTTCGTTCGAAACACATGTCTCGTCGAGAATTGCTGCCTTGTCCAGACACCTGCACATTCAGAGCCACGAACATGAGAAAGATACATCAATTTTACTACTTCTTTTTTCACCCGATCGAAGATTAAACTCACCGGAGCCTCTCGGTGTGTGGAACCGTGGTATTGTCGTAGCCGTTCAAGAGACTGGGGTGAGGAGGGTAACGCTGGTTTCTTTTCTTCCACGCCAAGAAAGCCACCCTCCATATCACAGTGAAGGGACTTCCCTTAGGTTTCTTGAAACGGTAAAGCTTCGTTCCGGACAGCAAAACCACGGCCGCGATGACCATAGTGGCCGCCGATATCCCGTACCCCCAACCTCTCCCGACGTTGTCCTGAACGTAAACGAGAGCAATGACCGCGAATAGGGAGCCGATACTGATTGAGAAGTAGAACCTGTTGAAGAAGAAGATCATTGCTTTCTCTTCTTTAGGGTTACTCGAATCGAACTGGTCCGACCCAAAACCCGAGACGTTGGATTTGATTCCTCCGCCGCCGAGAGCGATGGTGTACAGAGCTACGTAGAGAAGAACGAGCTGGTGACCGCTGACTTCAATGCACTGATGGTGAAGCCTCCTGAAATCGTCGCAAGGCGGTGGCCTCATGCTTGGGATCGTTGTGGCTAATGTCAAGAGTATTACCCCCTGATTCAGAAGATTAAAAATGATTCAAATCTTTGGACCGACTGGTTACATAACAAATGTGACAAAAGGGCAAGTAACCATCGATCTGACCAGAGCAGTGACAGAGGCAGAGATGGCGACCGTCTTGTAGCGGCCGAGTTTCGCGTCGGCCAAGAACCCACCGAGCAGGCCGAGTAGGTTCAGGGTTCCCATGAAATTGGTCACGATGGTCGCAGATTTGGCCGACGATATATGCAGATCTCCGACGAGATACGTCACCAGATTCATCGATATCCCCATCACACATATCCTCTCCGACAGCTCACTCCCTGCAAGAAGAAACCCACCACCAGTTAGTGTCAGAAAAACACTCCATTTCCGCTAACAAGAACGTCAAAGATTCGTTGCAGAGTACTATGTTTTCGGTTTATTTAGTTCATTTTTATGCATCACGTGTCGGCCGGACAACCTAAGATGAGACCGGCGGCGAGCCCACCGCCGGGCTTGGACTTGTCGGCGGGGTTTCCACGGGTATTCGAGGAGCCATCCTTTTCGCCAGTGGAAGAGACAAGAACCTTTACAAGAACATAAGAAAACAAAACAACAACAAATCAAGAACATTGCGAAACAACAACACGGTAAGAACAAAAACCTCCGAGTTCATTTACACTTACCATTCTTGTAGATCACGGGAGAGAGAGAGAGAGAGATAGAGAGAGAGAGAGAGAGAGAGAGAGAGAGAGAGAGAGAGGCTTTTTAGAAGCGATGTTTACAATGATGGAGGAGCTTGTGGTGGAAGGCGTGATAAGGGTTTTATAACACGTTGGCTTGTGGTTATCTCCACACAAGCTTCTCAAATTGTACCAAAGAAGAGAGAGAGAGAGAGAGAGAGAGAGAGAGAGAGAGAGATTCGAATTCTGGGGTTGGCAGCATGTGAAAGATCATGTTTGCACACATAAGATCAGATCTTGTGTGGCTTTTGTGAGTTGAGCAGTTCCATTACACAACACACAACAAAAAACAACAGTGTCTTTGACAATGACGTGCTTTTGGTTGCAAGATTGAGTTCCTTTGTTGTTTTTTGCCTTTTAGTCTTTCTTTTTCCTCTTAATTTCTTTTTTTTTTCTTTTCAAATCATCTTTATCACAATGAATGTATCCACCATTGGCTACGAATATAGTAGAATCACACAAGTAGGCAAAAGATAACATTCATATAATAATAATAATAATAATAATAAAAATAATAATAAAAATAATAATAATAAACAACTTTAGTACGCGTGACAAGGTGAAAAATCACAGTACATTGAAATTAACTAAATACACAAATTTTGGGCATATTATGTAAATTACTAAACATAATGAACATATTATTATCATTTTTTTTGTTATTATATATGACAAACTACAAAAAAGTCCTAAAAATTAAAAGTTTATAAGAGAGATATATATGGAAGGTATAAAGTTTCGGGGGAAATGGACGAAGATATTTTACAGTAAAGAGAGCAATGATTTAAAGAGCAGATGGGCCTCCCCCGTTTTGATTTATTGTCCTTAATAACTTTAAAAAGTATGAATATTATAAAATAAAAAAATATTTGATTCCAACAGTTTTGGAGAAAGAGAGATAAATTATTTACTTTTAAGTTATAATTGCGCTTAGAGTATCCATATTTTAGCTTTTTTAAATATGAAAAAGTGTTGGAAAGTGTTTAATTAGAAAGATAAGTTTTACTTTGAAATGTGATTTCAAAAATATTATCTACTCCGTTTTTTAAAAAAGTCATCTATACCAAAATATCAATGGGTGTGTTGTTAAAAAGATATATAGTGGTTTTCTGTTGTAATATGTAGCAATTTTGTTTTTATGATCCTTTATTAAATATGAAACTTATTTTTGTAATTAGAATTTATATTTAAATTTACTATCTAATTTAGATACCAGTGATACTAAAATAAGATATAAAACTATAGTATTTGATTAGACAGAAAAACATTAATATTTAATGTAGTTATTAAAATAAATTAAATATTTGATCTAAACCTAAATAACTTAATTTTCTATTAATACCAACAAGAAATTTATTGTGATATAAAAATAAAATCATTTGGGTTTTTTTACATCCTTTTCCTTGAAATATTTAAAAATAAAAAAAGGAAAAACCATGTGCTTAATTGTAGAGAGAGTTTCATAGTTTATTTATGCATAATTTAATTGACACGTCAAGTAACTAAGAAACTTATCCAAAGAAAACAGTATGTGAATATATATATATATATATATTAATGACGTATATATAAACAGATATTATCCTTTTCAAATAATATCAATAAAATATTTCAATAATAAGGTTTTAATTTGGATAAAAACTATAACCATTATTTACGCGATTACTATATCTTGGTTCAACGTATGTTCTAAAATTTCGGAAAAGGTTAATTTTTCCTCGTCATTGTTTAAATGATTTTAGATTTTTTTTTAGGATGCAATAATTAATAATCTTTTCGGTCGGTCGGACCAACGCAAAAAGAAGAACCAAGGATGTTCCGCCACGTCATAGAACACGATCGAATTCAATCTGTTGGGTTTAGATAGAGAATATTCCAAATAATCTTTAGATATCATATGAATCGGGGTTTCATTATAATAAACTCGTTTCTTTAAACTATATATATATATTATCATATATATATATATATAATATATATATACACAATCTTTTAACTGTTTTGTCGTTAAGAATCTTCCCCATGTCCTTTTTGTTCTTGTACAGAAAATCTTAGCTCCAATATATCTATACTTTAATCTTTAATTTTGGGAAGAAAGTGAAATAAATTTCGAAAAAAATGAAGAAAATATATATACAAAAAATATCATAGATGAAAAAAAAATACTATCTTCGAGGCTCAATCAATCCACTTCGTATCCAAATTGAGATAAAAACAAACTAAAATTTATTTGTTTTGGGAATCTATATTGACAGGAAGCCAACGACACGAAGAAGAACTGTGTGTTTATTGACGGTCAAAGCCGAACAT